GAGAGAGAGAGAGAGAGACGGGGATGGTGTTTACAGAGCGGGGATGTTCCAGTAAGTAATAAATGTACATGTATTGAATATCCTGTCTTGCTGTGTGTATGCGTGAGTGCACGTTTTGGCCTTTGTAACACCCTTGGAGTAACTATATAGTTCCTCCAAGGTAACACCCGTGCCACAGTTTTAGACCAAGTCAGATTTCTCCCTTTGAGTTGAATAAAGATTGTCTTTATCATCGTCATAAAATGACAGCCTCTCGTCTTTTTGCTTTTTCAAAATCTCCACTAAATTTTAAAAGAAAATTCGGAAAGCCGAGTGGGTGGTGCGGTGTTTGTCAGAAGCAAGAACTGAAAGGTGCTGCGGAGGTGTGAGTCACGGGTTTGAAGAGAGAATTGCAACCTGGCTATAATAATTAAGATAAGATAGTCCACTTTATTGTTTCAGAGGGAAATTTTTCTTGGCTGAACAGAACCGTAAAAACACATGCAAGTATACATGTACATAGAAATTAAATTATAAAGGCCTATTACTCTCATTATAATTTAAAGAAAAGTAAAGTTGAAAATAATGCACATATCACATCAGATGCATCATTCGACCACATGCAGGAATGTATCACAAGACGTTTAGAGTTATATAGATGCACGTGTGTATTATATTCAAAATAGTAATACACATTGATGTTTATTTTGACAGTAGCTTTATACTATTGCCGTCCAGTGAAATCAGTAATAACCGTTAAGGTCTATCACTAAATCGTGTTCCTTTTTTCTCAATATCTTGTCTTCCTTCAAAAGCATCTGATATGACATGATGTACATTGCATTATTTGTCAGCTTTATTTTTCTCTTCATATTAAAGTTCTATGAAAGCAATATATAATTCAAATTCTATCTTATCTCTATGATTACCTTATCTTAATCTTATCTTATCTATATTTATCTTTCTTCATTGGTGTTCGTCCACCTCGTGTTACCGGTATACTGGTAACTTAAGCATTACAACCATTTTTTTCTTCTTTCTCAAAGATCCTGCCTGAACTTTTTCCTCTGCAAATGAGACGCAAGTACGCTTATTTACACAGACGGGGCAGTTGTAAATCTTGTGCATGCAAACATGGAACATGTAGTGAATTGGACTTTGCGTTATGTGGAAGATGTGTTACACGAATGAACTTTTCAAAAAGCGTTGACATCGGGTAAAATGTGTGTAGAGTAGGGGAGGGGT